TTTTTTTTTTTTTTTTTTTTTTTTTTTTTTTTTTTTTAACAGTTTAAGCTGTTAAAAAAAAGGCACGCATGTAGGAACATTTCATAAAGTATTTTATCATTTTATTTGAATGTGCTCCACATGCTGCTCTGCGCCTGGCTCCCTACTTTTGAGGATCTTGTAGAACATCCTATAGGATAGAGAGGTGACTCGGTTTGAATAATTGCACTGCTCCTGATATGCTGGCGTCATCAGATTCTAATGTATGTAAGCAGTCATTGATAATTAAGTTGTTTCCAGAATGTTTACTCTAGCACGAATTGTGTCATGGGGACAAAATTACTGCGTTCCTGCCCTCAGATACTTGTGGCACAGGGACTGAGTTTTGACACAGAATCTAACACTGAAAAGAATGGCTTCTCCAGCTGCCCATAAGGCTTGGCTTAGCAAAAATGTCTTACGTCTGCTTATCGGTAATGCTAAGCGCCTTTGACTTCTCAAAGGAGAAAAACAGAAATACAGGCTTATCCTCACAAATGTATAGTAAACAGGAATCCCGGTGCTCACTTTAAGGTGATTTGCTCTGCTTACTTCAGTGCTAAAGCACTTACCACACAACAAGAAAAATTAAGTTCTGTACACCTTTCAATGTGTTGCTGGCATAGCTGAATATTTTAACTATTTAATTTATTGATAGCAGTGAAGATAAGATATATTGTTCAAGAGCCATAATCAATCAAAATAAGATTACTAATATTTCAGTAAACATTTGTGGATTTCCCTATAGTAAATCAAATTTCACTAATTCACTTAGGAAGTTCATAGTGTAATTATACATTTATAATTGTATCAGCTTTAATATTTCTAATTTCATGGCCATATTAGCACTCAGTACCACTTGAGGATAAAAGGTCATTCAATCTTCTTTTAGTTTTAAAATTGACTGTATTATATGACTTTTCATGTCCACTTTCTTTTAGGAAAATAGACAAAATAACATGTGGCTTATAAAACATCTTCCATTTAGTTTATTATTACAATTTCCATATCTGCTAAAACAAGACTCTGAATATTACATCAAATGTATAAAATATATTATCTGTACATAAAAAAACAGAAAATACACGGACATCAGATAGTTATACAAATATGTGCGTCTTTACATGTTGGCATATCATAACTACTTTGAAACAGTCCATGCCTTCAATAACGCAGGACTACAGTCTAGGTAATGCTGGGAATTTTTCCTTCACTGATCTGCTCAGTGAGCTGCCATTTAAAAAACATGTGTACAGTGTTGGTTTCTACCATTAAGTTATACATTGCTTACCAAGGTAGACAATAAGCAAATATTAATGTTTGAAGTTGGTTCAGAAGACTAATTAGATGCAGTCCCTGGAATCAGATTGACTTGAGGTAGCCTCGCAGCTCCCTTGGGTTCCCACTGTGTGCTTGGCATAGAATATGGTATAACCTCCTTGATAATGTGGAAAGAATATAGAGTACTGTAAATGTGAGGATATAGAATATAAGTGTGAGAATAAAGTTTACCACTAGGCTAGCCCATAATAGACAGTAATTTTAGGTCTTACTATTATGCAAGAAAGCACATTTATTATTATAGTGTACTAATATCTGTCAACACATTGATGATCACTTAGTCTGCAGCTACTCAAAAAGGTGATAGTATTTGAACAACTGTTTTCTCTAAGTGCTTTTATTTCAAAGAAAAGAAAACATTTCAAAGTGTATCTCTATCCTCATTTCAATCAGCAACTTTCAGAGTAAGCAAAAATTTCAATATTGCCTTTACCCAGAGGAGAAAGGAGTGCAATGAGCATTTATAAATTATTATTTGTGTGTGTGTGTGTGTGTGTGTGTGTGTGTAACCGGGGATTGAACTCAGACTCTTGTGCTTGTCAGGGAAACTCTTATTGAGCATTTATAATTTTATTTAATAATTATTTTAAAGCCAAGGTAATGAAAATTTTTAGGGTATAAGAATTTAAGGTACGAAAAAAGAGCAAAGAGAAGAAATTTAAATTAAACTTCTCAAGAATTAGTAATAAGGGGCTGGGGAGATAGCTCAGTAGAATAAGCACTTGCCTGGCAAGTGTAAGGGCCTGAGTTTAATCCCGTTTCCCCCCACCAAAAAATGTGGGGCCAGGGAGATAGCTCAGTGGTATAAGCACCTGCCTTGCAAGTGCAAAGTCCTGAATTCAATCCCTGGTACCACCACCAAAAAGAGAGAGAGAGAGAGAGAGAGAGAGAGAGAGAGAGAGAGAGAGAGAGAGAGAGAGATAGTAATAAAGATAGTCTATGGACTGGTTTCATTAGGTTGCTTATAATTTCTGCTCCACTGTAACTTACATAAGGTGACATATGGTTTGTCATGATGAAAAAAATCTGTCCCCAGTATAAATCACCATCCAACTCAGACCCACTTGAAGAGTTGCTCAGTCTCTCAAAGATCCCAAATTCCTGACCAATGGATCTTACTGGCTTAGCTTTTGTAATGGGTTCAAGTCTGATCTGCTTGGTGAGCTTGATTACCCAGTTCCTGACACTGTACATGAACATAGCTGATTGTATCCAGCGTGGCAGGAGCCACAGAATTGGTACAAGAACCATAGTACAGGTAAAGGCATCATGTTTTTGAAGGATGAGAACTCATTTAAAAAGTGCAAAAGGAAGGTGTTTGATCCCCGGGCCTGCCATGCTGGCCCCACCCCTGCAGTGTGCTGAGATGGCAATTGAGCCTGAGCGTGGTGCCACGCGCCTGTAACCCCAGCTCTTGGGGGGTTGTCAGGTGGATCACTATGAGTCTGATTAGTAGTGAGACCTGAACACTCTGTAGAACCTCCCCTAAGAATACAGAAAAAAACAAAGTAGAAAAGGAAGGTAAGATATTGGACATAGCAATGTCATCAAAATTATGGTGCCATAAAAACTTTAAAAAATGGGAACTTATGAGAAAAAGAACAGTGCTCCACATTAGCAAG